ATTTGGAAATAGAGTCTTTGTAGAATGTAATCAGGCTAAGATGAGGTTATTTTGAATTATAGTGGACCCTACATTAGATAATTGGTATCCTCAAAAAAAAAAAAAAAGCAAATAAACAGACTTGGAAGAGGCCATGTGATGATGGAGGCAGAACCTGGAGTGATTCTGTTGCAAACTAAGGAATGCTAAGGACAACTGGCAAGCCCTAGAAGTTAGGAAATGGTAAAGAAAGATTCTTCCCTAGAACCTTGAGAGAAACCATAGCCTTGTGACACACTGATTTCAGATTTACTGCTTCCAGAACTGTGAGAAAACACATTTCTGTTGTTTTAAGCCACCCAGTTTATGGTATTTTGTTATAGCAGCCCTAAGAAATTAATGTAGTATTTGTTGATCACCAAAACAAAATGTAAGCATTCTGGCTCATCTCTCACCAGAAAAAAAGTGCCTTATATTTGTTTTGTTCTATGGCTGAATGACAGAATGTAGATTCACATTCTGATCTTATTTAATATGGAGTTCCTAAGAATACATTTTAATAGTGTTTTACTTTGTTTTCAAGTGACCAAAACTCAAACAGATTAAAAAAAAAATGTGTACATTATCTAGCCCCAACTGAGTCTTAACATTACTTCAACTCATATAACTGAGGAGACAAAAACCTTAAACCAACAACCCAATCCTAGAGCAATCCTAGAACAAAAAAGAACTATACATGTAAAGACACATGTATAAAACAGGAAAATGAACAAATCTCAATTGATGCCCAAGTCTAAGTCCTCTGAAAACACAAGGAAAGGGGCAAACCAACCTCCCTCCAAAATTCACAATCCCGCAACAAAGGATCCCATGCATAAGGATCCCATGCATAATGAAACTCCAGAGAAAGATTATAAAAAACTCATTATTAAAATATTCAGTGAACTAAAAGAAGATATAAGGAATGAATTACAAGAACAAACACAAACACGAAAAACTATTACAATAAAGAAATAGAAATATTGAAAAGAAACCAATTAGAATGCCTAGAAATGAAAGTCACAAACAATCAAATTAAAAATTCACTTGAAAGCATCACAACATATTATATTGCATAGAAAGTAGAATTTCAGCCCTTGAAAAACAGAACTTCAGGCCTTAAAAGATAGGTTACATGAACTTTAGTACACAGTATGCAGTAAATGGAAAAAAAATATAGAACATGATCAGAATATACAAGAACTCTGGGACAACATCAAGAAACCAAACCTGAGAGTCAATGGGACAGAAGAGAACATAGAGATATAGGCTAAAGGCATTAAGAACATTTTCAATAAGATAGTAACAGAAATGAGATCGGCATCCAAGTACAGGAGGCGTAAGGACCCCAAAAAGATCAGATCAGAAGAAAATTTCTCCAAGACAAATCATAATCAAAATGCCTAGCATAGAAAATAAGAAACGAATATTAAAAGCTGCAAGAGGTCACAGAGGCAAATCAAAAAGGCTCATTTCTTACTTCTCAACTTGAACCCTAAAATCAAGAAGGGCCTGAAGTGAGATATTCCAAGCTCTGAAAAAAAACAATTGCTACACCTAGCAAAGCTCTCTTTCATATTCAATGGGGGAAATAAAAACCTCCCATGACAAGAGTAAACTAAAAGAATATATGGCCACCAAGCGAGCACTACAAAGAATACTCACAGATAAACTGTACCCTGAGAAACCCAAAACCAAATCCCAGAACTCCCAAATAGATGAAGATCAATAGAAGATTAATCATCTAAATGAAAATCAAGACAGAATTAAAATAACAAAAAATAAAAATGGTAGTAAACCACAAACACATATCCATGATAACACTGAATATAAATGGTCTCAACTCCCCCCAAAAGACATGGATTATCAAAATGGATCAAAAAGCAAGATCCAGTTATATGTTGTTTGCAAGAGACTCATCTCATAGGCAAAGACATTCACAGGTTAAAGGTAAAAGGATGGGAAAAAAATATTCTATACAAACAGGAGTCTGAAAACAAGCTGGAGAAGCTATTCTCATATCTAACAAAATAGATTTTAAGCAAAAATTAATCAGAAGAGACAAAGAAGGCCACTACATCCTGGTAAAGGGAACAATCCAACAAGAAGATTTAACAACAGTAGATATGTATGCCAGTGCAGTAAAATGTCAGTGCACCCAATTACATAAAAAAATAAAATAGTCACTGACATTAAATTTCAGATCTCAATAAAATAATACTGGTGATTTCAACATATACTTATCACCAACAGGTATGTCATCAAAGTATAAAATGAATAAAGATATAACCAAACTAAATAATATTGTAAATCAAATGGTCCTAATAGACAGTTATAGAATACTTCACCCTAAAATAGCTAAATTTACCTTCTTTTCAGCAGCTCATGAAATCTTTTCCAAAATAGATCTTATTCTAGGATTTAGCAAATACAAAAACAAAACAAAACAAAAATCCCTGATACAATCCCATGAGTCCTTCTGGAATGAAACCAGAAATCAACAGCAAGAAAAAGAATACAAACCACATAAATACATGGAGATTAAATGATATTCTTTTAAGTGAAAAATGGACCAAAGAAGAAATGAAAGAAGAAACTAAGAAATTCTTACAAACAAATGGGAACAAAGATACAACATATCAAAATCTCTGGGTCAGTAGAAAGCAGTACTATAAGGAAAATTTATTACATTGCATGCCTACATTAAAAAGTATTAGAGAGATTCCCAAATAAATAAGTTTATGTTCTACTTCGAGGCTTAGAAAGGAAGAAGAAACTAATTCCAAAATCAGTAGAAGACAGGAAATAATAAATATCAGAGCCAAAATTAATGAAATAGAGAATAAAAAATACACAGAATATTTATTTATGTTTAAGGAGTTGGTCTTTGAAAACATAAATAAATATTGTCAAAATGACCATACTACCAAAAACAATACACAAATTCAAAGCAATCCCCTTCAAAATTCCAATGGCATTCTTCACACAGAACTAGAAAAAGCAGTCCTTAAAATTCAACTGGGAGAATAAGAGACCAAGAATAGCCAAAGCAATTATAAGCAAGAAAAGTTAAGTGGGAACCATCACAATAACCTATCTCAAGCTATACTACAGAGCTATAGTAGCAAAAACTACCTATTGGCATCAAAATAGACATGAAGACTAATGGAATACAATAAAAGACTCACAGACGAACCCACATGCTTACAGCCATCTTGTACTTGACAAAGGTGCCAAAAATATATGTTGGAGAAAAGACAGTCTTTTTAACAAATGGTGCTGGGAAAACTGGACATCCATATGTAGAAGAATGAAATTATATCCCTATCTCACTCTGAACAAGTCAAATAAAAATAGATCAAAGACTTAGATATTAGACCAGAAACCTTGCATCTGCTAGAAGAAAACACTCCATCATATAGGTGCAGGCAATGACTTCCTCAACAAATCCCCTAAAATTCAAGAAATAAAACCAAGAATTAATAAGTGGGATGCCACCAAATCAAAAAGTTTCTGCATAGCAAAGGAAATGATTAAGAATGTGGAGAGAGAACCTACAGAAAGGTGGGGGGGGGAACCTTGCCAGCTACTCTTCTGACAGAGTATTCATAATCAAAATATAAAAAGAATTCAAAATATTCAACACCAAAATTACAAATTACCCAGTCAATAAATGGGCAAAAGAAATAATGTTTGTTTGTTTGGTTTTGCAGAAATTTCCCCAAAAGAAGACAGAAGGCCAACAAATATATGAAAAGCTGTTCAACATCTCTAGAAATCAGGGAAATGCAAACCAAAACTATATGAAGATTTCATCTTACACCAGACAGAATGGCAATTATCAAGAACACAAATAATAAATGCTGGCAACAATGTAGGGGAAAAGTACATTGATACATTGTTGGTGGGATTGCAAATAAGTACAATCACTCTGGAAAGCAGTATGTAGATTCCTCAAAAAACTAGGGATGACACCACCATGACCCAGCTATCTCACTCCTTGGTATTTATCCAAAAGAACTAAAATCAGCATACTACAGAGATGCAGCCACTTAAATGTTTATAGCAGCAAAATTCACAATAGCCAAATTATGGAATCAGTCCAGATGCTCATCAACAGATGAATGAATCAAGAAAATGTGGTATAAATATGCAGTGGAGTTTTACTCAACCATAAAGAATAAAATAATGAAACTTGCTAGTAAATGGATGGAAATGGAAAACATCATGCTAAGTGAAACAGGCCAGACTCAGAAAATCAAGGATAGAATGTTTTCTTTCATATGTGGAAGCTAGAGCAAAAGAAGGGAAAGAAGACCATTGTGGGGGTGGAAGTGAGAAATGGGATATTATAAATATATAGGGAAAATCAATGGAGTACAAGGAGAAAGAGAGAGGGAGAAAGGAAAGGAAACAGGAAGAATATGAAATAAATTTAATAAAATCATGTTATATACATATATAAATGTACCAAAAGGACTTTCACCTTATTTATGAAAAACATATATAAGTACCAATCAAAAATAAATAAATAAAGGAGTAAAAGGAAGTTCAGTAGAGTAGAGGAGGAAGAATAGGGTGAGAGAGAAGGGGGGGAATGGGGATTGAAATCAAATTCCTTGCAAGTATGATTTTGTCAAAATGAACTCAACTATTATGTATAATTATGGTTTAATAAAAACACTAAAAAAGTGTGTGTGTGTGTGTGTGTGTATGTATGAATATGTAATAGATCCCAATATTATGTAAAATTATAATGTACTAATAGAAAAAAAAAGAGAAAAAAGCTAATAAAGTTTGGATCACTAAAAAAAAATGTGAGTCTGAGTGAGAGAGTAAAGGAAATAAATTTCATCATATCAGTAAACATTTGACTGCCCATGTGGGTAGGGCACTAAAGTGCCATAAAATTATTTTCAGAGAAACTTAAACTCAATGTACAACTTGTAATTTTTTTTTCAGAAATAGAAATAATCACTTACCATGGTATTGCAATCTCGATTAGCTTGATTTCGTTCAAAAGATTTAATTTTATTGGAACTCATTTCATCAGTGTCAGCAATGACATAATGTCTAGGTGAGTAAGCACTGGACAAGCTCCCAACCAGCCTCAGGATCTCTGTGGTATGACCACCTGGAAAAAATATTGGAAGGCCTAAGATTAATAAATACACAATGGACATATCCATTTGACCAAGTTATACTGATATCAGGTTTTCAAAGATGGGCACAGGGCTTAAAAGATAGGAAGACACTGAAAACAATAATCTGTCATTGTATAAACACTACTTTTGTAGAGGGAAAAGATAATGTATAAAAATAAATTTGACATTAGCAGTAGGTACCGAGGAAGGTATAAAGAAGTTCAAGATATAGTTCCTGTAATTAAGAAGACTGATAGGAAAAGGTCAAGATACATACCATAGAGTAAGATAAAAAGGATGCAAGACAGCAAGAAAAAATAAAATGGGAATGAAAGCAAATAGATATCAATGTCCTAAGAGTTCAAAAGATCTGGTAAAGGTTCAGGTAACTCGAAAGGTAAAGATCATGAACTGAGAGGAGTAGGTAGGCTACTGGGAAGAGACAGGGATTGTTAGAGCATGAGATGAAGATCTGAGATGTGTTCATGGAATGATGTGAATACTGGAAAGAAAGGTGAAGATGAAGTAAGATCAGGAAAGTAAAATGAAAGCAGTTACTGAAGACTTCTGCATAGAGAAAAAGGTAAAGGCATGAGCCCTGGCCAGCAGGGCTTGGATCTTCTTAAGGAAGATTTTTTTTTTTGTTCACCACTGTAACCTCACTTCCTAACAGAGGTCTCAGCACACTGCAGATCCTCAAATATTTACCAGCTTCACCATATTTATTTTTTACTTTGGATTTTTTGTTTGTTTATTTTTGATGCTGGAGATTGAATCCAGGGCCTAGTACTTAAGAGGCAAGTGCTCTACTCTACCACTGAGTCCCCAGTCCCAACATTCAGTTTTTTAAATCATACGATCTCCAAAATTTTAATACCTTGATTTTAAAAGCATGAATTTAAAAGCAGAATAAAATAGAGACTAGTATTCCTGTATGTATATATGTGACTATATCCAATGTGATTCTGCAACCTGTACACTCAGAAAAATGAGAAATTATACCCCATTTGATTCAAATGTATGATATGTCAAGATCATTGTACTGTCATGTGTAACTAATAAAAAAAATAAAATAAAAATAAAAAATAAATAAAAATAAAATTTAAAAAGATAACTACCATCATTTCCTCAGTATCTGTGAAAGATTATTTCCAGAATAGACATGAAACCAAAATTCACAGATGTTCAAGTCCTCTAGAAAAAATGGTATAGTATTTGCACATAACTTACATACTTAACTCCTGCATATTTTAAACCAACTGTAGATTACTTATAATGTTTATTATAATGTAAATGTTACATCATTGTTATAATGTATTGTTTAGGAAATAATGATAAGAAAAAAGTCTGTATATGTTTAGTACAAATATAATTTTTTAAAAAATATTTTTGATCTGCCATTGGTTGTATGCAAGGATAGAGAACCCATCGGACACGGAGGGAAAGCTAACTGCATGTTCACTGTGGTTTATTTCGTGCAAACAACAACAGCAATGAAAGAATATCTATCACAAACCATTTAAGCACAATAAGGAACTATATTACACCTATTTTAGGTTCATGTCACAAGCTCTGTGCTTCAGCCAGGTTGATGTCTTCAACATTCTCTACATTCATCTTATTTGTTACCTCCTCTTTCCTTTGATCAAGAGGGGGACTCCTTATCCTACCTCCTTTATGAGTCTAAGAATGAGTTTTTAATAATAATAAATACAAAGAAATATAATCAAACAAATTAAGTATGGGTTTCCACTCGACACACACACACATACTTTTTTTTGGTACTAAGGATTGAACTCAGGGGCAATTGACCACTGAGCCACATCCCCAGCCCTATTTTGTACTTTAATTAGAGACAGGGTTACACTAACTTTTTTTTTTAATATAGAAAAGGAGTAGTTTCTTTCCAGATTCTAGAAGAAATTATACATAGAAAGAAATGTGACACAGACTAGTGTGAATGTCAAGAATTAAAATCACACACTGACTTTATAGAATTTTAAAGTAAGGGATGACAGGGGTATGTAATTTACACATCTGGTTTATACTCATTTCGGTATTTTTATTTTTAGCCTTGAAAAGTGTTGTGGTTTGCAAAGTGGGTACTTGTTTTCACAGCTGGAACAATTAAGGATAAAACCTAATATTCACAACATCTTCCACTGCAATGGAAACTTCATTATACCTGCTTTAATAGTCTTCTCTCTCAAAAGGAAAACTTCATTAAGTACATTCATTGAAAATTTAACTTTCCTACTGAAGTCATTAAAATGATGAACTCTGGGTCTATTTTAGTAGATATATTATTGAGGAATAAAATCATCACAATTCTACCTTAAAATATATACAACATCTAATCACTTCTCACCTCACCAACTCCTTTGCTACCATTCTGATCCAAGCCACTGTCACTTTTCACATGGATTATAAACATAGTTTCCTGGTGTCCACCCTACCCCCTCATTTCTTCATCAGGGTATTCTCAACACAGCATCCAGTTGAGATCCTATTAAAAAGAGTTGACTGAATTATTTAGCTCTGCTTAAAACTCTCTAATGGTGTTGTGTCTTATGTGTAATAAAAGGCTTTTTGTAATCTGATTGCAATTTCTGCTCCTTTTGGACCTTATCACCTGCCTCTTTCCCCCTTATTTAGTCTACTCTGGTCACCTCTGACCTCCTTGCTATTGGATATCTGTCATTTTCCCAGGAGGTGTTCCTTGACAATTCTTTTTAAATGCTACTTCTCCTCCCATGTCATAGTATTTATCACTACATAACTTTATTATGTAGTCTTATTTCTTTCTTTTGCCTTTTACATCCCCCAATGTCTACCCCACTAGAAGGCAAACACCAAGGCAGGGGTTTTTGTTCATTGTTACTGATGTACCGCCAGTGAACATAAAACAATATGCTTTCCTATTGTAGAAAGAATGAGTTCAATATTAAATCTAAAATTTGCCCAAGGAGAACCCACTGTGTATCAAAGGAAAAGTAGTATATTTTGAGAGATGTCCCCTGAATATAAGTGCTTGACTAATAGTATTTTATGGTACCTAAAGATCAAATGTTGCTTGGTTTTCAAGGTGAACTTTGAAAATACTTTTTCCCTCCTCAAAAAAATTCAGCATAAATTATTAAATTTATTTGATTACAAGTGTTTTTTTTTTTTTGACTTGCATGATTCTTGATCCCTCCAAACCCTGAATGTGTTGAATGAGGGAAGACACCACTTGTCAGATGAATTTTCAACAATTTCGGATTCTAGTCCACCAAGTCCAATATTTCCAAGTGAACAGCTTTAACATCTATTCATTTGTTTAAATCAGAAACCTGGACATCATCCTTTAGCCTTTCCTTGTCTCAAGTTCAGATAAAGTGGTGCCCTTTCTGAAGATTGCATAGCCACAGCACAGCTGTGCACTTCTTCTACAATTATATAAGATTTTTAGCACTTACCTTATTGTGGCAAGTACTCATTTTGTATTGTTATTTGTTAGTCTTTCTGTATTCTCTATTTCATCCACTGTTGTATTTTTGTGTACTTCTCAGTGCTTAGCACATAGCACTCCATATAATATTAGTCAGTTTTATTATTTCCAAAGCTTAGCTTAGTGCCTGGCCTATCTTACAGCTCAAAATAAACACGTTAAATGAATAAAGTAATGAAATATATTTATAAATTTGTTTATACTTTAAATATTCTATTTGCACACAATCTCCTGGTATTTCCAAATGTGTGTGTGTGTGTGTGTGTGTGTGTGTGTAGTCATGCACTACATAATGATATTTTGATCAATGATTAACAGCTATAAGACAGTGGTCTCATGAGATTATAAGGGAACTGAAAAATTCTTATCATCTAGTGACGTGGTAGCTGTCATAACACAGTAGCTACAAGGCAATACTCACATGTTTGTGGTGCTTCCTGTCATAAAAGCATAGCACATACAATCAAGTATAGTAATACATAATACTAGTTAATAAGTGACTTCTACTGGTTTATTTACTATTCTTTTTATTGTTACAGTGTACTCCTACTTTTAATTAAAAAAATAAAATAAAATATATCCTGTTAACAGCAGCAGAAGCCTCACCTATCTCATGTTTACTGCTTCTTAATTGTATCATTTTCTGTTGTGTTTGATTTAATCTTGTGTTGTGTTGTTCACCATGGCCCTAGGACTATACCATATATACGCATACCAGAGAGCCTCGGTGTGTAGTATTCTATAACTTCTGTGTTTGTGTAAGGATCTCTCATGATGTTTGCACAAGGACGCATTTTTAAAAGGCAAGCCATGCATGATTATGAATTATATATATGTGTGTGTGTGTGTGTATGATATTATAAGGGACAGAAATATATTCCTACCAAAATTGTCCATTTAAAATCGTAAATGCCTTCAGAGCTGGTAGATATGGACTGTTTACCTGACAGAGGACAATTTATTGCTCATATTCTGCCACCCTGTATGTACAGTTCTACGATCTGTAGTCAATGATTTTGACCTTGTGGGTGTTGTATGTTTAGAAATGAAACAATTCACTTTGCTTCATTTACTATTTAGTATTCGTGTTTCCTAAACGAAAGACAAAGTGCCTACATTAATAATGCACAACAGCCAAACAGGAAAACTGTATGTTAGCATCAACAGCGTCGGCGTTCTCTGTTCACTAATTATTTGTTACAAGGAGAGGCTTAATTACAGACAAGTGTAAATTACTTATTATTAAAAGGGAAGGAGCCGCGTCAGAAAACTGCATTCCCCCCCCCCCCCGGGCTGGGCTGATTCCGGTAACGCGGAGAAACTACAAATCTCAGCATGCATCGCTCCAAAGAGCGCTAAGGAGGCCAGAGAAAGCGTCGCGGTGTACTCTGGGGTGTGTAGTGACCGACTCAAGCCCGAGAGGCACCGCCGCGATACTTACCGGACCCAGCCACCACCAGGAGATTGAGAGACTCCCGGGGCACCACGTCCTGGGGCCGAAGCACTATCCATAGTCGTAGGACTAGGACCACAGCCACAGCTCCGATCGCTGCAGCTAAAATTTGAAAACACACCATGCAAAGGAACGGCGCATGCGCATTATTCCTGGCAGGAGCAGTCAAAGTTCACAACTACAAGCGCTGAGGAGACCCAAACTTCGAGCAAGGCACTTCTCGGTGGGCGTGGCTATGCCGAGGTGGGCGTGGCTGCGGGCCGGAGGGAAAAGTCCTGGCTTTGCGGACTTTTGCGGCTGCCCTGTTTGATTCTGCTAGGCCTCCTTCCAGGCATAAACTGAAATTCGGGATGTTAAACGCTGGAGAAGTTTGGTTTCCGCCAGTAATGAGGTCAGGCCTCCTGCACTTCCGAAAGACCCCCCAAGCTCCCAAGTTAGGAGGTGTTCCAGCTCTGCCTGCCAACTTTGGCCTGAAACTAACACATACATCACTTTTTTCTTCCTTTCCTCCCTTCCGCTTCTTCCATTCTCTTTTTCCTTTTCTTCTCTTCCCTTCCTGAACTGTTTCTGTTGCACATACCAACATCACTGAAAATGTTTTGTCAGTAAAGATATCCTAGTGGGGGAAAATAAAATGAATTTAGGGTTCTTGTGTAAACCCACTCTTGCCCAACACGCATTTCTTGAATTTTTCTAGGTGATCTCACTATATGGACCAGAGTGGTTGAGGGTGATCACCTCACGCTCTGCCAGGTTCCTGAGAGGATTGCAAGCCCAGTAGCTCAAGGCAGCAGGAGAGAGAAGTCAAAGTCCTACAATTATTATTCAATTGATTTTACCTCAAAGCATTCCGAGTTTGTTCCTCATGGCCTCAAGAAAAATCATTATCTGCCAATACTTCCTTCACTCCCACTTTTGCTTATTTTTTTCTGCTTAATCCACATTACAGCAACAACAACAACAATATCAACAACATCAAAAACCCTAAAGTTAGAGAAACCCCTTCACCTCAAATGTGATTGCCTTTGGACGCCCACAGACTTGTAGTTTAGATAGAACAAGCATGCAGGTGAGAAAACAGGTGCAGAAAGGTGCAACAACTTGCCTAAATGGAATAGTGTCACATCCAGAATTAGAAACTAGAAATCCTAACTCCTGTAGCCTATGAGTACTATATAGTGTATTTCTTTGGTCAATTCAGACTTGCCTGATGGTCACATTTACCTGGAGCCTAGAATGTGTATTTGAAGGGACAGCCTTTCAGAGTCCACCAAAGAAATACTGGTGATAGTGCTTGGGGCCCAGTAGTTGAATCTCCAGGGGAGGTGATGGGATCAGTTTTTAAAACCAGGTGTTAATTCCTGAATTAGCAGGCAAGTTTGGGAATCTTTTTGGCTACATCCTTTTCTGGCTTGTGAATCTCAGCACTCTATGTTTTCTTCCATCCAATCCTCTTGACCCGGCATCCTCACAATAAGGCCAGTAAGGTGATATTATTCCTCTCTTTATAAATAAAAAAGCAAATTTCATACAAGTTAGATAATTTGCCTAAGATTTCTTAGTTGATAAATAGTGGAGATAGTTCATAGTTGTGGATTTAGAGGTCAGTGTCTCAAATTTTGATGGAAATCAAAATCCCTTGGTGGACTTAACAAATAAATACATTGTTGAAAGTCTCCAGAAGGTCTCCAGAATAATATGAAAAACAGTTCAAGAATGTTACAATGTCATTTTTTTCATCTATCGTCTTTGTTTCTGCCATTCTCAGAAATGGCTTCAACCTAAGACTCTCTACCTTCATGCTTAAAAGAAGACATAAGTGGCCCTACAAATTACATCCACACAGAGCAATCTCCAGAGCCATAAAAAAGGTTATCTTGTCATTGGATCCTTCGTTTCTCCTTAAGGTCGAAGAAATCTTTCCCAGAATCCCTCACAACAAACTTGTTTTTCACTGGTTTATACCATTTTCATATCACTTCCTCATGAATAAAAAGGAAAAAGACCCCAAAGGCTGGCAGGGGTAGGAATGGAGGATGACATACAATTCTGCTCTAGCATATAACATTAGATGCAGGATGGGTACTGAACAAAATGGAAATTCTTTTGGAGAACAGGAAGTTAAAGGTAGGAGGCAATAGTGTCTCAATTGCTATGAAGATAATGTTTCTTTGTAAACTGACACATGCAATGTGGATGTGAGGACTATAATAATTATTTGGCTTCAAGCTCCAAGTTCCATATTAGGGAAGACTTAATACTGAGAGGATACTGTTGCATCTAATATTATCCTATCCCCTTATTACTATAATCACCTATATCTGTAGGAAAAATATCAGTTTGCTCACACTTGGTATAGAGCTAGAATTGAATGGGGGCAATCAAGTATTTAGGGGCTGCCAGGTAATATCAAGAATCAGGATGATGGGCTGGGGATGTGGCTCAAGCGGTAGCGTGCTCGCCTGGCATGCGTGTGACCTGGGTTCGATCCTCAGCACCACATACCAACAAAGATGTTGTGTCCACCGAGAACTAAAATAAAATAAATATTAAAAATTCAAAACAAAATAAAAAAAGAATCAGGATGATGGAATAGGTAACATTGGAGTTATTGAGTTACTCTGAATTAATGAGAAAGTCAAACTGTTTGGTTTTTCTGTCAAAGCAGTTAAGGTCTGCAAAGAGGAGTTAGGTAACGCCACAGACAGGAGCAAAGCTGAGAATCCCTGAATAAAACTGTCTACAGGGTGGGCTGAGTCCTGGGCTGTGACAGAATGTGTAGAAAATCAAGAGGTCAGGAAACTGTGTTGGGTTAATCAGGAAAGTTAAGACAGAGCCAGACGAATCAGCAACTAAAATTGAGACAATGAGTAAAAGGTAAAAATTTCATGAAGGCAAATTATAGTGCTATGTAAAGCATGAAAAAATACAATAGTTGACAAAATTAATGATATGTGGTTCATAACCAATCTTAAGTAGTCTATCTGGGAAGTGATTATTGTTTTCTTACACCTTTCCAACATTTCCATGGAAAATATCTACTATTCATGCATATTTTTAAGTTTATTTAGAAGTCCAGACTTTTCATTTTTTGTAGGATTTTTGTGTGTTAATTTATTCAACATATTTAATGAGTATATGCTATGTGCTAGACACTATATTAGCCACAAGGGATATCGTATAAGTAGGGCAGTAATCCAGCCAAGAATCTTGGACGAGGGAGATGACAGTGGAGGTAGAAGAGGGCAAATTTGAGACTCATTTAATGGGTGGAGTCAGTAAGACTTGTTAATGGGTTAGATACTGGAGATGAAGAAAAGGGAGAAATCAAGATGACTTGTGGATATTTTGGCTTTAGAAATGGTTAGATGGTGTAATTTGCTAATAGATGGACTGGAATAAAACTAAACTTCTGTGGGGAAAGGAGGAAAGGATGAAAATGAAGTGTTCTGTTTTGGATTTTAGTCTGAAGAGCCTGTTAGAAATCCAAGTGATTATATGAAATGGACAATTTTATGTATATATCTGAAGCTTGAGTCAGACATGAAGGTATAAATTTAGAATTTATTAGTATATAGATAGTATTTAAAGCTATGGAGTAGGGTAAGATAACCTGAAGAAAGAGTTTAGGACAGTCATGTACAATTGTTGATGAAGATGTTTTATATCTGTGTTGTATGTGATATACAAGTGAGTGACTATCGAGCTCTTGAAATATGGCTGTTGCAATCAAGTAACTGACTTTCAATATCACTTTACTTACATTATTTTAAATTTGAACAGATACATGTGGGTTGTCGCAACTGTATTGGATAGCACAGGATAAAGACGAGACTGGGGTTGCTAACATTTTGAGATTTAGTAAGAAGACATTGAGGCCGCAGAGAAGATGTAGTAGGAAAACCAGGGAGATAAGAGAAAAAAACAGAAAAGAATGGTATCCACAAAAACTAAGAAGGGAAAATGATTTAGGAATGAGACTGCAGTCAATTATGTCACCTGTTCCTGAAAGGTGATATCAGATAACTTGGGAGCAGGTTACTCACTGTGGATTTAAAAAGCATCATTCCATGGAATGGTGGGGATGGAAAGCAGAGCATGGTAGTGATGCACCAGCAGAAGAGAGAATGGGGGGTGAAGACAATCAGAAGTTTCTCTAGAATGTTGTTCCAAGCTTTTCTTTGATGGACAACTGGGTGGAATTGGATAGAATATGGAGGAGAATTTGAAATTGAGAAAACTTATTTTATAAGATGGGATTTTCTTGACATAGCAGAGTTTGTTGATGATGAGACTGATAGAAGGAGTGACTCTTATTCAACGGTAAGGATAGAGGTCATGGGCATGGGTGCAGATACAAAGGATTTGTAGAATTGGTGGTAAATACAGGAGAGTGTGGAGACTGGGGGGTGTAGAGTGTGGGAGGCTTGAAGAGAGCAAAGGTGTAAAGTAATAATCTTGAATAATTGGCATACTCCCCAGGACCAGGATAATATTAAAGTGTTCATTTGAAGCTTGTGATAACAAATGTACTGAGAAGTCAGTCAGCATAATTTTACGTATTTCCCCCCAATGGAAAAGACACATAATTGGCTTTAAACAGTTAGAATTTTGACAAGTGGGACACTAGAGAGAGAGAAGGTTCTTTTCAAGGGAGTGAGGTGTGTGAAAATTTCTGTGGGTGTAATAGGAAGTTAAGATGGGAGAGTAGAGGTGAAGGAGTGTAGTATTTATGGTATGACTGTTAGAATGAATGAAAAACATCAGTAGGGGTGTCTGATGGGTGGAAAGGATGATAATAAGCTAGGAGCTTATAATCATATCAAACAAGAAGAGCATAGGGCCATTTGTCCCACCAGATCCATTCTCCATGCTTGTCTTCCCAACTCATGCCGTGTTAGCTGAAATCAGTGGACTAAAATCAACAGGTTTCTTTGCCCTCTGGTTCTGGCTGGGTTTGGCCAGTAGGGATCTTTAGCAGAAGATTTTCGAGAGGGAAGGTTATATCCCTGAACTCAAAGTCTCTGCTCTTTCCATGGCTTTCTCTCTACATACCTCTCCTTCTGGGTCCCAGCACTTCCTTTGTTCCTTCTGTCTCCAAAGTCATAACTAGTTCCATCGTTACTGGTCCTGGGATACTGAACTCACTGTTGCTTATACTTTCCCTACCCCATTCATACCTTTGTGAATTAGGCTTTTATTAAATCATCCTTAAATTAACCTAATATCATTGTGCTATCTCTATCCTATCGGGGACACTGACTAATCCAAGGGTGTACAACTATGTGACAAAAACTTCAAAGGAACGGGAGTTTTTGAGAGAAGGAGAAAAGCTTTGGAAGCCTTTCCCACCTCCTGTGGGGGTGTGAGAAACAAATGGCCTCTCCAAGAGATACTACATGCTGTGTACTAGAATAGCTACTGGGGATACAGGAAAGGCAATAACAGTTAGCACCCAAGCGGTGACTTAACAATGAGCCTCACTGTATGAAGCACTGGCCTCTTGACAAGACCTCCTAGAGAAAAGCCACCCCACCCCTGGGCTTCCAGGGAGTGTGGGCTGCTAGGGGTCCTGTGAGCTAGGCCCCTATTCCATCAGAATTCGACCATCAGTCCTAATAAAGGCAGAAAAACATGGACAAAGAAGACTGAAGTCCTTTTTTTTTTTTTTTTTTTTTTTGCAACAACCAGGGAGACCACTTTGATCAATATAATGCCTACCCATGACAAGGTAGGATAAAGCTGGGTTCTTAGTCTGGGTCAGAGACAGAACTAGAACCATGTGACCACCAGGACTATTGATTATACCCCTCACTGTTGAAGATTTCTGGTACATTGGGTCAGATAAGGTGACAGAAATCATCCCAATGTAACTCAAAAAATCTTAATTATAGCCAAGATTTTTGACTTATTAAATATACTAATGTCTGCATCAGAGCCTTTTCCAGGACTCCTTGAATGCTACCCTTGAAGCCTAAGGCAATTATTCAATACTTATAATAGCTGTATTAAATTGTATGGTTATTATGTGCCAAGCACTTAGCACATGAAGTAACTCATTTAATTTTCACAACAATGCTGTGTGAGATAGATACTGTTGTCCTCCTTTTACAAATGAAGACATTGAGGTTCAGAAAGATCATGATCTTTGTTCTGAATCATGACCCTAGGAATTGATAGAAATGGGATTCAATCCTAGTTATTGTTCACATTTTTATCATCCACAGTATCATTAAAACTCTTCATTTTATATTTATACCAGCTACTGTGCTAAATACTAAAAAAAAAAGCATGGTAGAAATATGGTTTTATTTACTATATTTGACTATTCATTTATAAAATTAGGAGGAAAAAGTTTTTCTTAAGTGTTTTTTTAACATTCCAATAAAGAATTACTTTTCCTTTTTTTAGCTTTTTCTCCAAGTGCACTCCAAAAGGATACTACATATTTATAGGTCTATTAATTATGTCTATATTATGTCAAACCTTATTTAAGGTGAATTTATAGTGAGTGATTAAGACGGCATAATTTTATTCTTTCTCACTTTATGTCCATTTATAACAAGACATTGAAATCTTATTCAAAATACATTCCCTATCATTGGAAATCCCATACACATTACATTGTTCATTAATGACAATTACTATAGTGGCTTTAATTTTTCAAGTTATCAGTCTTTTCAGTTTTTGCCCCGTAAAGCAAGAAACAATATTTCTGCAAGAAGCACTGCTTGCCTCTGTAGTCCATGGAATTGATTTTCTCCAATCCTTCCTTCCCCTCAAGGCTTTTTTGTCCTTGTTAGGAATGCAAAAGTTGTGCCTTCATTCTCATTTGACTTTTTGTTATTCCTTAACTTTATAAAGAAAAAGTATGGCAAGTGTGAAATTCAAAGATATAATAATACATTGCCTACCATCTAGCAAGCATGTGCTTCTTCAACCACCTCTCAGAGCCATCTTAAGAACTTGAACACTATTATCATTCCCTTTGATAGGTAAGAAAATGGAGACTTTCCCATGCTCAGTCAACTCTCCTGGTGCTTTGATTTGACTTCCTGTGGATGTATTATGTCATCTAGTGGCTTTAGGATACAGTGATTCTTGGGCAACATCCTTGGTGCAGAAAACATTTTACAGAAAGAAGAGATAAGAAAAATGAAATTTGCAGATGGGTCCATTTAAAGGTTAGTGCTATTTTATCTCAGAGGTTTTGTGTAAATAATCAATGAATATATTTTACAAATGGATAGATAACTCTTGCTGAATCCTGAATTTAACTTGGTTTCTTCTTCCATGAAGTATTCAATATCCTATTTCTCATCAGTAAATGTTAGGTGTCCTAATCATTGTGAATTCCTTCTCAGTTTATTAAAATAGGCTTGTTAATTTACTGACATTTAAAAAAAAATCTCAGGTGATTTAGCTATTTTCTAAAGTTAGAATATACCATATTCAGGTGGGCTCTTTGCTGATTTTGTTTTGGATAAGTGAAAAGATAATGTCAATGAACCCAGAAAATCCTAATACTTTGTAATATTTTAAAAATATTTCCTAATAGAATTGTGGAACAACTATGTCTTTCTTCCTTCAATTATGCTCTGCCCTCAATCTTGAACCACTGACTCTCACTCTGTCTTTACACTTAGCCTATAAAACAAGCTTAAGTCTTTCCCATTAAAAAAAATAAAAGCAAAATCAATAAAACCATCCCTGCATCAGTCTGGCTCAGCATAATTCCTTTGAACTACACAGCTCAACCACATGTAGATGGCACTGCAGTCTTTAACCACACCTTCTCCCTATTTGCCAGAGTGCTTTTCTACTGTTAAGTCTATTTTTATGCAGTTGGACTTTGTCATGGATTTGAAGCCTTCTGCTGAGCATGGAGCAAAATGGTATTTCAGATGTTGAGAGAGAGAGTCATTCTGAACCACGTTTCTCCAGCAGTATTTCTAAAAGGGGTGACAACCACTCGGGAGAGGCACCTGCCAGACCCAGACTTCACAAGAAGAACATTTCATTTACTCCCTGAATACTTCCCCCAGCCTTGCATTTCTTTCTTCCAAAGCTCTCAGACTGGTGGCCTTGTCTATCTTCTTCAGAAACATTTACCTCCCACTAAAGGAGGTCTCATTCCCTGGTCTGTTCTTCGTTATCATAATGGCCCAGATTTCACTTGAATGAGTATTCAGACTTCATCTAAGTATTCAGTCTTAGGGATTCCAGAGGCTATGGGCCCAGGTATTATGAATAAAGTCAAAGGTGAACCTCTCAGTGGTGGTTCAGCCCTTTTTCCACTGCAAGCTAAGTCACTTAGAATGTCACACTGCTATCAGACGCATTCAGTTCCCTCAGAGACAACTCAATCCAATCCTTTCTCTATGAATTGATATTTCTTAAAGGAATTTGGGGCTTATCATGTAAGAACAAGGGATTCCTGCTTTCCCTGCCACGTTGAAGAAATAGCACTAATTTTATTAGAATTTGTTGGCTTTACATCTCTTCTGACGGGAGCTCTGAATGGAAGGTGATCACATATCCAGTTTAGTCTGCCAGACAAGAGGTACTGGAAGTTTGTAAGTTTTACTATAGCTGATTCATATTCCCTTTCTCCATTCAGACTCATTCATTTGTTGCACTCCCATCTAATTGATGTTCTAAAGGGGAAGGCCTTTTCCCACACTGCAGCTATGACTAAGGTGTTTCTGATCCTTCTTTATTCTCACACCTCACTTGAATCCCCTGTTTCTCCAGGGAACAAGCCATCTATCTCACACAGGAGTGGCAGTAACTGACTATGAAATTGAGGAGGTGTGGTTTTAAGATCTCATACAAATCCCACATCCAATAGCAATTCTTAAATTTGGAAAGGTTACCAGCCTAAGATGCAGAGTATTGTGTACTTTCAGCTGCTCAATATGCACACTTTTTACACACACACAGACACACACACACACACACACAGACACACACACACACAGACACACACACACACACACACACACAGTGTGGGCCATCCTAGTCTTTAGGACTGGTTGCCCCAACTCAGTCCCATGGGGTGGTACTCAGATATCTGAGTCCACATGTAAGTGAAACTAGCCGTAACTAGTTATCATCCTCTTTTTTTTGTTGAAAGCCAATATTCTTAAAAATCACTAGTCTATACTTGCAGTTTCATTTTCCTTGTTTATTTTCTCTTCTCAATTCACTGATATCTAGCTTCTGCCATAATTATTTTCCAATAGCATCTAGAGTTTCAAATTTAAAGAACACTTTCTTTTCTTTCTTGTCTCAGGCAATTAAAATTTTTTTTCTTAAATTTTTTTGTTCCAATAACTTATAATTATTCCATTTGCTTTTGATTTTCTTCATACCATTGTTGTTATATCTTGTTATTCTTTTTTAAAATGTTTTTTAGATGTTGGACTTTATTTTGTTCACTTATTTACATGTGGTGCTGAGAATCGAACCCAGTGCCTCGCACATGCTAGGCAAGCACTCTACCACTGTACCACAACCCCAACTCCTGTATCTTGTTATTCTTCTCAAGCATTTTTTCTATTTTCCTTGAAATAAAAAAATTGTAAATTATATTTCCAAAAGTACTAAAAATAATCACATGGAAATTTGGGTACGCACCAGATGGATTTTGCCATATATTTTTTCAGATCTTTATTCTCTGAAAAAATATATGGCAAAATCCTTATTTTCTCCCTCTGCTCTTTGTATTTCTAAGATTTATTTACCTTGAGTATTTTTTTCTGCTCACTTTTTATGGCAGACTAATGTTTATCACCTCAAAATCTATTCTTCTTTTCTTGCTCATCACATGTTCACTTATCTGAAGACTACATTTCTTACCCTTCTATGGCAGCTACATGAGTTTTTTGGATGAGTTCTTACCAATGGAACTAGAAACAATGAATGAAATTTTTACTTTACCTTTTTAAAGGAAGATGGCTTGCTTTCATTCTTTCTCCTTCATGAGCATGTCTATGACCAACTGCACCCAGGAAGATGAAGAAGACATTCTAGAAGAGGGCAGAAAAGAAGATGAAAGAACCTCATAGAAAAGTTGCCCTGCCAGTCCAGGCTCTACTGTTATGTTGAAAGGAATCTTACATTTTCTTGATGTCACTGAATTCTGGTGTCTCTTTCTGATAGTAGCATAGCCTTTGCTCTGAATAATACATAACCTGGCAATGGAGAACTTCTATCAAAACTCAAGAACAAAAAAACATTGCCTGAGCAGTCAGACAATTGGCAGTGAAGAAATATCTGTCAGGCTGGAAAACTAGGGGTCCTTGTTTGCCACTGCCATAATAATATTTGGTAAAAATCTCACCTATCTAACTTGTAAGGCTGATCACATTCCTTCTATGACTGACCTCCACGAGAAGCCTTTGAAAAGAACCAGAGTTTAGGTGTATTAATTTTTTTTCCTCTGTGCTGAATTCAGCAAGGTTTTTCAAGAAATGAGCTCACATAAGAAATGCTGGGTTTACAAGCATGAATGAAAGGAAATAAAGGATTTTGACTGTGTAGGGTTGAAAAATTTAAACAGGAGGTAAGACTCCTATGCCAAAGACTTTATTAAAGTCCTCCCATTGACATTCTTCAGTCAAAAAAAGAGATGAAGATTTGTAGGTGCAGGAAAGTTTCATCTGATGATTTGATAATTTTAGTGCATGAAATAAATTGGCAATAGATTAACAGGAAAAAGCATACAAAATTTATAAATATGCAGAACACAAAGAAAGAGACTCAAAGAGAAGGGAAGATAGTTGAAGCTTAAATACCCTCTTTATAGGAAAGAAGGAATTAGGAATATAGGTTATATTAAAGGAATAGTAAATTTATTTTTAGAAAAGATTAATGTGGTCAGAAGAATAAATAATGGCCTTGGACAACATTCTGGGCTCTAGATGTGATGTTTGACTTTCTAGTCTTCCTCCCTGTGATACCAGTTTTAGTCTTTCTGGTTAATGAAATTTCCATAAGCATTTGGAAGGCAATTTCTATCCCTATCTTGGTGGAGCCAGTCAGGATAACAAGGGAAGTTTGGGGAAAGCCTTTCCCTGTGGTAGGAGGAGGGAAGCAAGAGGACCTCAGAGAGACCTTGATTCTGAGGCAACTTCTAAGATTTTTTAGCAAGTCAAAGTTCCAGTCATGGGGGTATTGTTTTCTGATCCATGAGCCAGTAAAGATCAGATTAAGAGTGTTGCCTCACTTATTTTTTAAAGATTATATGAAAGTAGCCACCATTGACACAATAGGAAGAGGAACGAATAGTTTATAGAAGCTACAGGATAGGCATGTTTAAGAGGTAGGTTCAGAAAAGAACTTTGGGTATGGGTCCTGGGCAGATGTCCTGAATCATGAAGGGGCTGCATCTTGAGAAAAATCATTGTTAAGTTGAAAAATGTCATAAGTTGGGAAATGCCTTTTATATGCCCAACCTATTTGTGTGCATAGTCATCTGGTCCTATTACTTTGGGGCTTTTAGAGAAGCAGAATACCATGGTGGGAATCTTGTGGTAAAATCTTGAGCTGTTCGTCTCATGGTGTCCAGGAAAGCAAAGAAGGGACAGAGGACAAAACATACTTATCAAAGGGCACATCCTCAGTGACCTACTTTGTCCGACTAGGCCACACTTCCTAAAGTCTCCACCCCTTCCCAGAGTGCCACCCTCTGGGGATCAAGCCTTCAAAAAATGAGCACATTCCAGATTCAAACTGTTAATTATACTGAACATCTACACTGTAGGTCTCTATTAACTGTTTCCCATTGTGAGCAAGTGGCCAAAA